TCCCAGTGCTCACTCTGGTAGGCCAGAAGAAAACTGCCCATGTGAGGAGGAATAGGTAACAGCTTCCTAAGATCTCAGGGTTTCTAATTTCCAAAGCAAATCTATTGAGAGGGGTCTCAGCTTTGGCCAAGGAGATGAAGACACTGTGACACAAGACACTAAAGTTGGCAGGGGCTAGAGCTGGGTTGACAGCCTCAACATCGTCTGGCCCCACTGTGCACACACATAAGCACAGTACAGGACGTGATGACACAGCTGCCTTCACGGGGCTCACAGCCCAACAGGCTCGCATCTCAGGCTGGACACAGAGAGGCCCAGGGACAAACTAGGTGCTCACAGCCTGTCGTCTGCCACACAGACTTGACCATCCCATCTGTTGTGGCCTTTATGTTCCTGTCCTGAAATCACTCTGTCATTTTTGAGATTGCACACAAGCACACCATTTCAGACTCTTTTGCTGGCGATGATGGCTACTCCATTTCTTCTAAGGGATTCTTGCCCGCAGTAGTAGATGCCATGGTCATTTGAATTAAATTCACCCATTCCAGTCCATTTGAGTTCACCGATCCCTAAAATGTCAATGTCCACACTTGCCATCTCCTGTTTGACCACTTTCAGTTTACCTTGATTCATGGACCTAACATTCCATGTTCCTATGCAATACAGTTCTTTATCACATCACACTTTACTCCCATCACCAGTCACATCCAGAACTGGGTGTTGTTTCTGCGTTGGCGCCATCTCTTCATTCTTTCTGGAGTTATTTCTCCAGTAGCATATTGAGCCCCTACTGCCCTTGGGAGTTCATCTTTCAGTATCATACCTTTTTGCTTTTCATACTGCTCATGGGATTCTCAAAGCAAGCATCTTGAAGTGGTTTTCCATTCTCTTCTCAACCAACAAACAAGCCAAAAATATAAAAGGTAGGTAAGGACAGTCTCTGCAATAAATGATGTTGGGAAAACTGGACACTTACATGCAAAACAACCGAACTGATCCAGTATCTTACAATATGCAGAGAACTGAACTCAAAATGCATTAAGCTTTGAGAAGAAGATCTGAAACCACAGAACTAGAAAAAAAAAGGTAGAAACTTCTTTAACAGCTGTCTCAGAAATGATTTTTCGATCTGGTTCTAAACACAAAAGAACAGCAAATGGTAAAAACTGGAATTATAGCAGAGGTCAACAAAGTAAAACAAAGAGAAATGAAATAAAATGAAATAGGAGAAATTATTTGCAATTAATATACTTTGTAAGGGGCTAATATCTAAAATATATAAAGAATTCATACAACTGTATAGCAAAAAAATGAAAATAAAAAACTTCATTGAAAAGAGGGCCAAAGGTCTCAATGGACATTTTTTCCAAAGAAGATATATAGATGACAAACAGGCCCGGATGTGTTGCTTTATATCTGCAATCATCAAAGAAATGAAAATCCACACCAAGAGAAGTTATCCCCTCACATCTTCCAAAATAGCCATCATCAAGAAGAACACAAATAAATGTTGGCAAGGATGTGGAGAAAAAGAAATACTTGAGCACTCTTGGTGGGAATGTAATTTGTTGTAGCCAGTATGGAAAACACTATGAAGGCTCTTCTAAAAATAAGACTGCCTCAGGAGCCAGCAATCCCACTCCTGGACATATACTGGGAGAAAGCTGTCAATTGAAAGGATAATGCACTCTAGTTACAATGCCTAACATGTGGAAGCAACCTCAATATCCACTGCCAAATGGATAAAGAAGATGTGGTGTATATACACAAAGGAATACTACTGAGCCATAAAAAGAATGAAATGCTGCCATTTGCAGCAACTTGGATGGACCTGGAGATGATCAGAGAAGTGAAGTCAGTCGACAGAGAAAGACAAATATCTTATGATACAGCTAATATGTAGACTCTTAAAAAGTGATACACATGAACTTATGCACAAAACAGAAACTGATACACAAATTTTAAAAGCAAACTTATGATTACCAAATGGGACAAGTGAAGGGAAGGGTAAATAAGGAGGTTGAGATTAACAAACAGATGCTACTCTATGTAAAATAATCAACAAGGACCTACTGTATAGCACAGGGAACTCTCCACAATATTCTGTAATAACTTATAAGGGAAAAGAACCTGAAAAAGAATAGATCTATGAATCTGTGACACCACGCATAAAAATAAACTAAAAATGGATTAAAGATGTAAATGTAAGACTAGGCACTATAAAAAAGTTAGAGAAAAACAGAGGCAGAAGACTCTCTGACATATATCGCAGAAAGATCTTCTCTAATCCAATTGCTAGAGTGATGAAATAAAAACAAAAATAAAAAAATGCAGCCTAATCAAACTTAAAAACTGACCCCTGGGAGACAGTGTTCTCCCGACATAAAAAGAGCGTACAGAAAGGAAGAAAATATCTGCAAATGAAGTGACCAACAGGGGATTAATCTTCAAAATATGTAACAGCGCATGCAGCTCAACATTTACAAAAAAAAAAAAAAACTAAAATCTTCCATCAAAAAATAGATGGAAGATCTAAATACACATTTCTCCAAAGAAGGCATACAGGTGGCCAAGAAGAACATGAAAAGACACTGAACATCACTAATTATTAGAGAAATACAAATGAAAACTTCAATGAGGTATCAGATCATACCAATCAGAATGGCCATCATCAGAAAATCTACAAAGAATAAAAGCTGTAGAGCGTGTGGAGCAAAGGGAAGCCTCATACATTGTTGGTGAGAATGGAGATTGGTATAGCCACAATGAAAAGCAGTATCAGTTCAGTTCAGTCCCTCAGTTTGTCTGACAGTATGAAGGTTCTTAAAAGACTAAAAATAAGAGTTACCCTATGATACAGTCATCTTACCCTTGGGCAAATATCCAGAGAAAAACATAATGTGAAAAGATACATGTTTCCCAATGTTCGTTTCAGCACTGTTGACAGTAGCCAGAAGACAGAAGCAACTAAATGTTCCTCGATGGAAGAATAGATAAAGCATATGTGTTTCATGTTTACAATGGAATATTACCGACTCTTAAAAAGAACAAAATAATTCTATGTGTGCAACATGGATGAACCTAGAGATTGTCATACTGAGTGAAGTCTGATATAGAATGACAAATATATGATGTCACTTACATATGGAATCTAACAGAATGTTACATATAAACCTATTGACAGAAATAGAGTCTGCGATGTAGAGAACAAACTTATGGTTACCAAAGAATGGTGAAGGATAAATTAGGATTGACAAATACACTCTATTATACATAAAATACATAAAGATCTACTGGAGAGCACAGGGTACTCTATTCAATTCTTTGTAATAACCTACATGGAAATAGAATCTAAGACACGAAGGTATATATAAATGATTCACTCTGCTGAACCGCAGAAACTAACAGCACTGTAAAGAATGATATTACAATCAAAATTTAAAATCATAAAACAATGATTCAAGACACATAAATATAAGAACTGAAAACACAGAACCTCATCTCACTCTCACAATTATTATAACCACTGTTCATTTTTCTGACCCTGATGCTTCCTCAGCATATACAGGATATTAGCCAAGTTCCGTGGCCATGGTGCGAATGGGTGGCCGGGAGGGAAGCAATCTCAGTGTTTGGGGGATAGAAGACAATGTGGGCTGGAGCTGGCTGTGCTGAGCAGACCAGCCCTTGGACTGCCTCCCACTGAGACCTACTGCCCACCTGAACACTGTCTCCCAGGGGTCAGGGACATACCCAGTGTCATAGGAGCAGATGATTTGATACACAAACACTGACATCACAAGGAAGGATCAACATGATTGAAAAATACCTCTGAAAGTGTTATATAGATTTTCCAAAGGACTTTCAGAGACATAGTTACCTATAGATGGATGAGGTGGAGAGAAGAAGAAACAAAGGGGCTGGCACAGAATTTTACCCACCCATATCCAGCCTGTGCAGTGGTAAAGAACCCACCTGCCAATGCAGGAATCACATGAGACACGGGTACTGTCCCTGGGTTGAGAAGATGCCTCTGGAGTAGGAAATGGCAACCTACTCCAGTATTCTTGCCAGGAAAATCCCATGGACAGAGGAGGCTGGGCTGTAGTCCATGGGATCACAAAGAGTTGGACTTGACTGAGCGACTGAGCTCACACATGTGTCACAAGGGACAACCTTCAAACAGTGGCTCACCTTACATGTGTTACTTGTAATGGCTTTTCACTAGTTTCCAAATGAAACTGGAGATGAAAAGCATGTCAATATACTTTAAAGAAATTGTCCTAAGTTTATCAAACATGTTCTGAGGAAGTTTAACTTGAAAAGGACTCTTTTGAATGGGGCAGTCAGTCAGTTCAGTGGCTCAGTCATGTATGACTCTTTGCAACGCCATGGATTGCAGCACAGCAGGCTTCCCTGTCCATCACCAACTTCCGGATGCTCTGCAAACTCATGTCCATTGAGTCGGAGATGCCATCCAGCCATCTCATCCTGTGTTGTCCCATTCTCCTCCCGCCTTCAGTCTTCCCTAGCAACAAGGTCTTTTCCAATAAGTTGGTTCTTCGCATCAGGTGGCCAAAGTATTGGAGTTTCCACTTCAGCATCAATCCTTCCAATGAATATTCAGGATTGATTTCCTTTAGGATTGACTAGTTGCATCTCCCTGAAGTGTTTGCCACAAGCGGGTACACACTGCCCTCTGGTGGCCATGTGAGTAATAGCAGGAGCACTGCTGGGCTCCATGGGTCTGTATGCCAAAGAGGCCAACAATCAGTTGCCACCTCACAGTCTCGCTATGAGAGTAAACCAAATTCTGCAAGTCTCAATGTTTGGGGGCTGCCGTCTAGTGGAAATCGCTGTCTTGACTATGACACAATACATCACTTTCCAAGTGCAGAATTTCAGAGTGATGGTTGAGCACCTGAGTTAGGCCCTGGGACCACAACAGAGAATAGAGAGGAGGTGGCTACCTCTTGGGACCGCAGGGAAAGGGTGGGACCATGCTGGGTGGGATCACTTGCCTGTCTGCCGTCATGTGTGGAGCCCTGTGTACACAGTGCCTGGCAGCCGGGCAGAAAGTCTCAGGGCACCAGGCAGCTGCCTGTGTTGCTTCTCAGAACTACAGACATCTCCCCTCCAGACACACGCCCACCACTCTCTGCACAGAGCTCCACCGAGGACGCAGACCCCTGACCACCTGGCAGCCTTGGGTCCACACGGGCACAGAGCAGAGCACTTCAGGGATCCTGCTTCCCCACTGCCAGCCCATCCTCAGGTGTGATTGTGACAGCACGCCCTGGTCACCACGTGCCCAGCAAGCCACTCCTGCCCAGACGGAGTACCTCCTCTCAAGTCCCACTTTCCCGCACATGGAGATGAGGGCTGCTGGTGCTGCCCAGAGACGGCTCCCAGTGTCGGCCAGGCCTGGTGTGGCCAGCTCTAGGTTGACTGGGATTACCTTAGGTGACCTCCTGGTAAAGGCCCTGAGGCATCCAGGTTGAGTGCTGAACTGCCTGAAACATCTGAAAAAACTCTCCCTACACGGTTTTCTGAAGCAGAAGCCCTGGCCAGTCAAGACACAGTTGGAGAACATCCTTCTGGATGAAGACTCTCCAGCCAAGCGATCCCCAACTGGCTGCGGTGCTGGGGCTAGAAGGTACGTGCCTGGTTACAGGGTTCCGAGTTCTGTTAGGGTCTGCTGTTCAGGAAGTGACTTCACCACCCGGTGGTCCCTTCCTTGGATTGACAGTTGACACCCCTGCACATAGCCCTCAGGATACTGACCGCTCATCCCTCATCCACGCAGCCCCTGGCCTCACACAGTTGAACCACAAAGCCCTCCACACAGCTCCCGGGCAGGCTGTGTGTGCAGCTCTGAGTTGACAGACCTGGGCCCAGACTCACCTCCCATTTCCTACCTGTTCTCTATCCTGGATGAGTCCCTGTCTTTCAAAGTCTGGTGGTGTCTCACCTGCACAGCGGGGATGATGCCCGCATGGACTTCTGGGGATGTCCTCAGACAGAGGTGGGACAACACCTGGAAGAGGTGGGACTCCTGTCTCAGGCAATCAATGCCTCCAACACCTGTATATTTTTCTTATTACCTTCTTCATATCTGTTCCTCTTCTGATCCGAACTCACAGTCCTTATTAACTGTCAGTGTGAGTGTGCATGTGTGAGTGTATCCCAGTGCTCACTCTGGTAGGCCAGAAGAAAACTGCCCCTGTGAGGAGGAATAGGTAACAGCTTCCGAAGATCTCAGGGTTTCTAATTTCCAAAGCAAATCTGTTGAGAGGGGTCTCAGCTTTGGCCAAGGAGATGAAGACACTGTGACACAAGACACTAAAGTTGGCAGGGGCTAGAGCTGGTTTGACAGGCTCAACATCGTCTGGCCCCACTGTGCACACACATAAGCACAGTACAGGACGTGATGACACAGCTGCCTTCACGGGGCTCACAGCCCAACAGGCTCGCATCTCAGGCTGGACACAGAGAGGCCCAGGGACAAACTAGGTGCTCACAGCCTGTCGTCTGCCACACAGACTTGACCATCCCATCTGTTGTGGCCTTTATGTTCCTGTCCTGAAATCACTCTGTCATTTTTGAGATTGCACACAAGCACACCATTTCAGACTCTTTTGCTGGCGATGATGGCTACTCCATTTCTTCTAAGGGATTCTTGCCCGCAGTAGTAGATGCCATGGTCATTTGAATTAAATTCACCCATTCCAGTCCATTTGAGTTCACCGATCCCTAAAATGTCAATGTCCACACTTGCCATCTCCTGTTTGACCACATTCAGTTTACCTTGATTCATGGACCCAGCATTCCATGTTCCTATGCAATACAGTTCTTTACCACATCACACTTTACTCCCATCACCAGTCACATCCAGAACTGGGTGTTGTTTCTGCGTTGGCGCCATCTCTTCATTCTTTCTGGAGTTATTTCTCCAGTAGCATATTGAGCCCCTACTGCCCTTGGGAGTTCATCTTTCAGTATCATACCTTTTTGCTTTTCATACTGCTCATGGGATTCTCAAAGCAAGAATATTGAAGTGCTTTTCCATTCTCTTCTCAACCAACAAACAAGCCAAAAATATAGAAGGTAGGTAAGGACAGTCTCTGCAATAAATGATGTTGGGAAAACTGGACACTTACGTGCAAAACAACCGAACTGATCCAGTATCTTACAATATGCAGAGAACTGAACTCAAAATGCATTAAGCTTTGAGAAGAAGACCTGAAACCACAGAACTAGAAAAAACAGGTAGAAACTTCTTTAACAGCTGTCTCAGAAATGATTTTTCGATCTGGTTCTAAACACAAAAGAACAGCAAAAGGTAAAAAGTGGAATTATAGCAGAGGTCCACAAAGTAAAACAAAGAGAAATGAAGTAAAATGAAATAGGAGAAATTATTTGCAATTAATATACTTTGTAAGGGGCTAATATCTAAAATATATAAAGAATTCATACAACTGTATAGCAAAAAAATAAAAATAAAAAACTTCATTGAAAAGAGGGCCAAACGTCTCAATAGACATTTTTTCCATAGAAGATATATAGATGGCAAACAGGCCCAGGAAGTGTTGCTTTATATCTGCAATCATCAAAGAAATGAAAATCCACACCAAGAGAAGTTATCCCCTCACATCTTCCAAAATAACCATCATCAAGAAGAACACAAATAAATGTTGGCAAGGATGTGGAGAAAAAGAAATACTTGGGCACTCTTGGTGGGAATGTAATTTGTTGTAGCCAGTATGGAAAACACTATGAAGGCTCTTCTAAAAATAAGACTGCCTCAGGAGCCAGCAATCCCACTCCTGGACATATACTGGGAGAAAGCTGTCAATTGAAAGGATAATGCACTCTAGTTACAATGCCTAACATGTGGAAGCATCCTCAATATCCACTGCCAAATGGATAAAGAAGATGTGGTGTATATACACAAAGGAATACTACTGAGCCATAAAAAGAATGAAATGCTGCCATTTGCAGCAACTTGGATGGACCTGGAGATGATCAGAGAAGTGAAGTCAGTCGACAGAGAAAGACAAATATCTTATGATACAGCTAATATGTAGACTCTTAAAAAGTGATACACATGAACTTATGCACAAAACAGAAGCTGATACACAAATTTTAAAAGCAAACTTATGATTACCAAATGGGACAAGTGAAGGGAAGGGTAAATAAGGAGGTTGAGATTAACAAACAGATGCTACTGTATGTAAAATAATCAACAAGGACCTACTGTATAGCACAGGGAACTCTCCACAATATTCTGTAATAACTTATAAGGGAAAAGAATCTGAAAAAGAATAGATCTATGAATCTGTGCCACCACGCATAAAAATAAACAAAAAATGGATTAAAGATGTAAATGTAAGACTAGGCACTATAAAAAAGTTAGAGAAAAACAGAGGCAGAAGACTCTCTGACATATATCGCAGAAAGATCTTCTCTAATCCAATTGCTAGAGTGATGAAATAAAAACAAAAATTAAAAAATGCAGCCTAATCAAAATTAAAAACTGACCGCTGGGAGACAGTGTTCTCCCAACATAAAAAGAGTGCACAGAAAGGAAGACAATATCTGCACATGAAGTGACCAACAGGGGATTAATCTTCAAAATATGTAACAGCGCATGCAGCTCAACATTTACAAAAAAAAAAAAAAAAAACTAAAATCCTCCATCAAAAATAGATGGAAGATCTAAATACACATTTCTCCAAAGAAGGCATACAGGTGGCCAAGAAGAACATGAAAAGACACTGAACATCACTAATTATTAGAGAAATACAAATGAAAACTTCAATGAGGTATCAGATCATACCAATCAGAATGGCCATCATCAGAAAATCTACAAAGAATAAAAGCTGTAGAGCGTGTGGAGCAAAGGGGAGTCTCATACATTGTTGGTGAGTATGGAGATTATTATAGCCACTATGAAAAGCAGTATCAGTTCAGTTCAGTCCCTCAGTTTGTCTGACAGTATGAAGGTTCTTAAAAGACTAAAAATAAGAGTTACCCTATGATACAGTCATCTTACCCTTGGGCAAATATCCAGAGAAAAACATAATGTGAAAAGATACATGTTTCCCAATGTTCGTTTCAGCACTATTGACAGTAGCCAGAAGACAGAAGCAACTAAATGTTCCTCGATGGAAGAATAGATAAAGCATATGTGTTTCATGTTTACAATGGAATATTACCGACTCTTAAAAAGAACAAAATAATTCTATGTGTGCAGCATGGATGAACCTAGAGATTGTCATACTGAGTGAAGTCTGATATAGAATGACAAATATATGATGTCACTTACATATGGAATCTAACAGAATGTTACATATAAACCTATTGACCGAAATAGAGTCTCAGACGTAGAGAACAAACTTATGGTTACCAAAGAATGGTGAAGGATAAATTAGAATTGACAAATACACTCTATTATACATAAAATACATAAAGATCTACTGGAGAGCACAGGGTACTCTATTCAATTCTTTGTAATAACCTACATGGAAATAGAATCTAAGACACGAAGTTATATATAAATGATTCACTCTGCTGAACAGCAGAAACTAACAGCACTGTAAAGAATGATATTACAATCAAAATTTAAAATCATAAAACAATGAATCAAGACACATAAATATAAGAACTGAAAACACAGAACCTCATCTCACTCTCACAATTATTATAACCACTGTTCATTTTTCTGACCCTGATGCTTCCTCAGCATATACAGGATATTAGCCAAGTTCCGTGGCCATGGTGCGAATGGGTGGCCGGGAGGGAAGCAATCTCAGTGTTTGGGGGATAGAAGACAATGTGGGCTGGCGCTGGCTGTGCTGAGCAGACCAGCCCTTGGACTGACTCCCACTGAGACCTACTGCCCACCTGAACACTGTCTCCCAGGGGTCAGGGACATACCCAGTGTCATAGGAGCAGATGATTTGCTACACAAACACTGACATCACAAGGAAGGATCAACATGATTGAAAAATACCTCTGAAAGTGTTATATAGATTTTCCAAAGGACTTTCAGAGACATAGTTACCTATAGATGGATGAGGTGGAGAGAAGAAGAAACAAAGGGGCTGGCACAGAATTTTACCCACCCATATCCAGCCTGTGCAGTGGTAAAGAACCCACCTGCCAATGCAGGAATCACATGAGACACGGGTACTGTCCCTGGGTTGAGAAGATGCCTCTGGAGTAGGAAATGGCAACCTACTCCAGTATTCTTGCCAGGAAAATCCCATGGACAGAGGAGGCTGGGCTGTAGTCCATGGGATCACAAAGAGTTGGACTTGACTGAGCGACTGAGCTCACACATGTGTCACAAGGGACAACCTTCAAACAGTGGCTCACCTTACATGTGTTACTTGTAATGGCTTTTCACTAGTTTCCAAATGAAACTGGAGATGAAAAGCATGTCAATATACTTTAAAGAAATTGTCCTAAGTTTATCAAACATGTTCTGAGGAAGTTT